CGTCTGAGTTGTGATGCATGCCGCAGGTTGCGACCCAACCGTCTCCAAAAAACTTGGATGTGTGCCGCCCAATTGTAAAACAGCCCCAAGTTGTGGCGCGATGTTGGACCGTTCCTCTTTGGGTGGCAGGATCCCGGCTTGAAGCCGCTGCGTTGCCTGCTGGCTCTGGGGCTGCAACCTCTTCGCAGCCGCTTCCAAGCCAAACCTCGGCTTCGTCAACTGCCAAGCTTGCTGCCGTGGCCGCCTTGGCCTTGGCCTTTTCAGCTCCAAAGTCTTCCGCGTGAGAAGACTCCGAATCCGAGAGAAATGGAATGATTCCCTGGAGCTTCTTCTCCTGTTGCAAAGAGTTTTGTGCTTGTGTCTTGGGTCTCTGGGCCGGGCCTTGGCCAGGCTTTTTTGCACTTGTGCGTTTAGGCTGCTCAGCCGGGTGTGCCAAAGCGAATGCAGCCAAAGCCGCGTTGGCTTCCATTTGTTCACGCGATCGCCTCGAATCCAGGTACTCATCTTCGTCAATTGCTGACTCACCAATAACATCAAAGCGGCTTAGCAACTGAACCCGCCCAAGCCTGGCAATCCGCATCTCCCAATCTTGCGCCTCTGTGGCCATTTTTGCCAAGAGCATGCCTTCGCTTAAAATGTCAAGCTGTCCCCTGAACCTGCCCAAAGGGCTAGCGTGCAAGCTGGCCAAAATGCCATCTGCCATCAGTTCTGGGGACTCTTCTCTATGGAGAACCAAAAGAGCCGCTTGATGTGGAGCCCGCAACGTGTGGAACATCACGGCCACATCGTGAATTCTTCGGGTGCTTGGCGAATGAAACGACACAACCAAAGGTTCAGACCCTGTGGCCTTGAGGCTTGGAGCCTGCTTCAGAATCACTTTCCAGAACAAGTCCAAAAGACGGCTCATGGTGGGCCTGCTTGCCTCAGGTAGGCAATGCTCACACGCATCGACCGGGCAGGGGGCAAGCAAAGGCCACTGCGGGTCTGGCTCACCAGACATGCTGTCAGCACCTTCAGGTTGCAGCACATTGTGTGCCTTCCGAAATGCAGTACCAACCTTGGTGGCCTCGTGGCACTTGTCTGCAATGAGATGCCTAGCCAAAGGAAAGCCGTGGCTCGAGGCAGCGTTCCAAGGCCCACCGGTCTGCTCGGGAACTTGGCTTGAAGCCGCGTCATCCACGGAATCCAAGTTCTGAGCCCGGGCCAAAGCGCCCCAATGCTTTTTTTGGTCTCTGGACAGCTTAGACCACTCCGTCTTCGTGGCTGCAGCCATCTCTGCTAGCGACAAAGCCTGCAAAGCTGGATTGCGAGCGATCAAATCTTGCTGAAATAAGTTCCAGCCATTGACAACTGTGTTGGCTGGCATCACCCATGCAGGTCGCCTGTTGTGCTTGTTCCTGCCTTTAACTTTCAGGGTGTTCAGGCGCCACAAAGAAACGCATTGCTCAAACTGGTGGTTGCAATGCTTGGCACACACACTGGATAGCTTTGGTTTGGGGCCTTTGCGAGGAGTGCTCCATTCACTCAAGCGTGCAAACATGCGCTCGATAAAGGTTGATGTTGGCACCACCCGGTTAAAAACCTCCTCCAAAAAATTCAAAACATCAACTTGGGCTAACCCCTCAGGATCGGCTGTCCTTTCCCTCAGTTTTCTGGAGAAACCATCCAGGCAGCAATGCGGAACATCAAACAGTTTTTTTGCGCAGCTTTCTTTGTTCGCTGCCGTTTCTGCTGGGTCTACCAAAACAGCCAGCTTCCATGGAAATTGTGACCATGGATACAACAGCTTGCGCCACAACTGTCCAATGACAACACAAAAGCTCCGCCTGGTGGTTCTCAACCTGGTCTGTGGCCATGACAAAACCGGGCCAAAGGCCAAAACAGCAGGGCCCCAGGAATCATCTTCCAAGTTTAGCAACAAGACACCCAAATTTTCCAAAGCTTTCTTGGCAGGGTTTTCGGCTGCTTTGCAAAAACAAACAGTCGTGAACGCATCAAGTGCATCCGCTGCCTGTGCCTCCAGGTCCTGTTTCCTGTGGGTGTGCCAGGTCGCATGCTTGAAAAGCGAATAGTGAATTCTCATCACAGGCGCACTGAGTACCATCCAAACACACGTGGACCATCTAGCCGTTTCATCCTGCAAGAAAAAACCTGCCTTGCAAAGGCGCAGCTTGGCAAGCTTTCTCCAAACCTTGGTCTCGTTGACAGGTGCACCCACTTGCTCGCCTTCGTCCTCTGAAGAAACCTGGTCTGCGACCATGCCAGCAGTCTGGAATGCTGCCTCAAAGGCTTTCGGCGCAAGCTGGCAAAAGTTTTGCAGCAAGGACACGTGACGCACGCAGGGAGCTACTTTGGTCCACTTGTTGAGAGCAGGAACTGCAATGGGTTTTAGCATGACCCGCTCTAAGAGCTGCATTGCTGTGTCAACCGCCTCTTCCCGGTCCTTGCAGCAATCAGGCGGACCGGCACAAACGTGGACTGGCGGTCCTGCGAGGCGAACAAATGCTTGGTAGTTGAAAAGGCAAAAAAGGCAGGAGCAAGAGTAAGGTAGGATCAATATAAGGGCTGGTGCGCAAAGCTTCTGGCTAGGGGCTGGGAGCTGCTTGGGTATCCAACATGTCACACTAGCCTCATACTATCTATCTATATATCTGCCTATCTACGACTCATTCATTTTCTATCCATCTATGTATCATCCAATCGTCTACATCCATCTAAATCATCCATATTCAATATCTATACCTATCTCTCGGCAAAGTCTGGGGACACGGCTTTCCAAGGTTGGCTTCAAGCTTGTCGGGATTGCATAGCGGAGCATGCTCAATGATCTGTGCATATGAACACGCAGACGTCGGCACATTTCCTGACTTTGCCTGATACAATCAGAGCTTGCTAGAATCTACCAAAACAGTAGCAACCATTACCACAACATCAGGAGTACATACTGCATACTAGATCTAAGAAATCGAAGGAGCCAACACATCATACCGGACTGGTGGCCTGCCGCAGCGGTTCTTTTGCGTTGCCCCACAGCCAAGGCGGTGCAACGAGGCCTAAGGCCCAAGGCCAACGGGCTAAAGTACAGGCCAAAGGCCGACGACGCAGAACAACTTACTGTGTATCCTGAATCAATTGAAACGATGCCAAAAGCCAAGGCAGGCGATGCATAAAACGATGTGGTTCTATTCTGCGTCGCGACCCGGCCAAAGGCTAGCCACAAAAAAGGTTTGCGTTGCGGCTAAGCAGCTCTCGTCTCTCGTATTATGGGTTGCTAATCTCAGCTTGCCTGCAATCACACATCAAGTTTTGATGCTTTTTGCAATGATGACCATCATCAACAGAATGTCAACATGCCGCTAATATGCCACTAGACTATGACTCTGCAGCAGGCAAGTGAGACTGCAACCCGGCCACAGGCCGCAGCTTCAGCTGGAGCTTAGGGCTTAAGGCAGGCAACGATCACAGCCGATGAAAAACTGCGTCTCAAACTTCTCCAGTCAAGACTTTAGCTGCAATCTGGCCAAAGGCCGGCCCTAATAACTAGTAACTAATAAGCTCCAGATGGCACTGCAACCTGGCCAAAGGCCAAAGACCGCCGCTCAGACATAGCCCTGTCCCCGCTTGCGCGGGTTTTCCAAAAGTTCGCGTCCACCCCATGTTGTTTTGAGGTAGTTTGCGCATTCGATGTTGTTGCCAAGAGCCATGTCCACGACTCCTTGTCCTTTTTTTCCACCTGGCGAGTTCAGGCAAGCCCCGACCATGTGGAAAGCCGCGGTCGATCTTTCGCCCCCGTACTCGGACGATCCGCCCAATTTGTGGTAGAGAGACCAGCAAATCTTCTTGATAAAGCTGAGCTGCCCCCTTGACGCCGCTATGTGCAGCGCGGTACTGCCACTTGCGGCACGGGTCCTCGGCTGAGCTTTGTCAAGTTGCGTGTGCAAAGACTAGTTACCCAAGCTTTAGGTTCCAGGTTTTCAAGGAGGAACGATTTTGGCATTCAGGGATTGAACAAGTAGTCTAATAAAATCTATAAACTACCGACTTGACTTATAAGCCGCCTCTTAGTTCCCTTGTGATTATTCAAGAAAGACATAGAACTCCTAACTCCTAAGTCGTTGTGTCAAGTGTGTGACAGTGTGTGTGTGTAGTGTGTGTGTGTGTGTTCTTGGCCTGATATAAAAAAGCCTGTCGGAACTCTGGAAGAAAACCTGAATTCTAACATTCTAAACATGTAATACCAAAAAAGCTGTCCCCATTGGCACCGGCATGTCTTCCAACATGTCATTGCCATTTTGGTCGCTTCACTGTACACTGCCACAAGGTCAGAAGTTTAGAGACTCGCTACGAAGCTCATCGTGAATCGTGAGAACTGACTACAGACGCCTCAGGACCGGATCTCAGCTGCCACCTTGCCTTAATGTGCGATGACCTGGCATTCGACACTGACAATGCTAGCCTCTTCTCCATCTGTGCGGCCGGCCATGTCATAGAAACACATCACATCAGAGTCAGCCTGTAGCAAGCCAGGCAGGCCATGCTGGAGAGGCAATCCAGCATGGCCTGCCGGCTTGCTACAGGCTGGCCACTGGGCTTCAGTCCATAGGTTCTCCAGGATCGAAATTTCGGTTCCCGAGGCCAGGGTTTTCCGCATAATAGCCGCCACCATGGACCACAGCTCATAGAGTAGCTTGCGGGTGGAGACAAAGCCATGACGGTTGACCCTATTCTAAGAGTCTTAGAATAGGGTCAACCGTCATGGCTCTGCAGACGACGTGGGCAACGGGGCCAAAGGCCATGTTGGCATAGCTGCCGGTGCTTGCCCAACCTTCTCAGACCGGCATCAATTCCAACCAGGTGTTTCCAATGGAAACGACACCTGGTTGGATTGACGCCTGTCTGAGATGTCTTGCCAAACCCGGCCCAAGGCCCAACCAAGCCACTTCTCAGCCTTCTGAACTCTGACGAGAGTTCTCTGCTTTGGCAACATTAGTCTAATGTCATCAGACCACGCCATTGCCAGGAGCATTGCAGCACAGCACAGTGGTCACCATAACAGCGTAGGCACCTTGAGCCTGCAAAGAATTTAGAAGCCGAAATCTGAAGGCTCTTTCAAACCCTCCCTTTGTTTCCTGTTTCCTCAGCAGGAAGCTACTGAACATTGAAGACTGCAAGAAGCTCAAACTTTAAACAGGCCAAAGCTCTGAATGCCAGTAGCGCTCATGTGCTGGAGCAGCGTGCAAAGCATGCTGTACGCGTATTCAATGCCACCCAATTGTCCAGGAGGACTGTCCACGAGCACCATGAGAGGCGTCCAATTGGGCGGCATACCGGATGGAAGTGTTGCCACATCCGCCAATGAAGGGGCTTTCGACCTGGGTTGTATCAAAAGGACCGGAAACCACAAGCATAAAAAGGTTGCCGACATTCTACAAACTAAAACTAGAACTGCGAGGAAAAAATCTCCCAAAGTGCTGTCTAACGGCAACACCCACTCCAAACCTGGCTTTAAGCCTGTGCGCACCAAATGATGAGCAAGGCTCATGCCTTGGTGATCGCGCAGGGTAGCCAGCTCTGAGACCGGCAGCTCGTTGCACAGGAGGTGCCTCAGCCTCGAAGAGTCACGGTTGTACATGACCTCGAAAACTTCCTTCTTGCGCTGGTCTGCCTCAGCCTGGTTCGTGACCTTTGTGAGTCGCGTCAGTAGCGTCTGTTGCTGGACCTTTTGTGTCTCCAACAACTCAAACAGCCTGGCTAACGTCTCAGCTGACTCCGGATCCTGGCCCTCGTCCTTCTCGCCAGCCTTCTGTAGTCGGTTGACAGCCTGAACCAGATTTTCGACGGCAGCGGCGGCTGTCATGTTGGGGTCGACGAACACCTGGCCAGAGGCCGCTGCCATGGACTTATCATCCGCAGCTGGCTCGGGCTTGGTCTCTTCCTCGCCTTCAGAAGGCACCGGGCCTCAGATTGCTGTGTAGGAAAAGAAGCAAAAAGCAAATGGCAAAAGGGCCAACCAAGCAAGTCGCATAACCCCCACTTAGTACTAAGTACTAGGAAATTAAGGTCAGTTTTTAAAAACTCAAAAAAAAACATCATGACGGGCAGCTTGTAGGTGGGTGCTCTTCCTCCATAGCCTCAGCTTCTCCTTTGCCGGCTTGGTCTGACTCTTGCTGCTCCATATCCGTATCGCCACCATAGTCAGCCGCCTCCTCCTCGATCTTCACATTCTGCTCCTCCACCGGCTCGTCCTCAACCTCGACCTCAACTTCGACTTCCTCGTCAAGCTCGTCCGGGCTGGCGGTGAAAGCCATGAGCTGACGATTCAAGTCTCCAAGGTCTTTCACTACCCCTTGCAGCCGAACGAAGTCTTCGGAGGTCCACCTTGGCGAGGCAACTGGGCTTTCCGGGTTGCGATCCTGCCACATCTTCGTACTCGCAGACTGTTGGCTTTTGTCCACCATGTAATACTCGTCGTCCTCTGCCTCGGACGACACTGGCAAAGAGGCTGGCAGAGCACCGGCGTCCGGATCTTCAGTGCCATCAGATGCCGAAGACTGGGGTCGGGAACCTGGCGCAACGCCACTGGCCGAAGCAGCTCCTGGGAGTGTTGCACGCTTGGGAGCATCGGACTCAAAGTCTGTGAGGCCTTTGCCGCCAACCATGCTCACAATATCGTAGGAGTCGTCAGTGGTGAAGCCAAATTCCGTCCCCGTCTCACCCGAATCGCTGAACCTCCATGCCTTAACCCGCCCACCTGCCGGCATGGCCTTCGTTTTGATGGCGGCGGGAGCTCTGGCTTTTGGCCTGGTGGCCTCAATCTGCTGTGAGCGGGCTTCCAACAGATCTCGGACTTCTTTAACCTGGCCTGTGGCCCTGACCATCGAAACTGGCAGAGACGGGAGGCTCGGCCGGATGTGGTTGCGAGTCTCGAAACCCAGCTCCAAAGCCATTTTCCTCAACGTCAAAGGTGTCATGAGATCCTCGGTGGAGCACAGGGCACAGACTCACTGAACACGCAACATTGATACATTATATCATTATAGTGAACACTCAAGCCCAACCTAAAAGTCTAAAATTGAAGCGAAGAAACGTTCAGCATGTTGCTTGATGCCACGCCTCTGCCGTTGCCGACCATGGCGCCCGTGACAGCAACCTGGTCAGAGACCTCCGCCAGAAAGTCCATCGGGCGTATTGTGTTGATACGTCCGCCTCTGCACGGTGCTCGGCTTTGAAGGTCCACGATGTTCCGAAGCTGTGTCACATGGTGACTGGCCGTATCGAAGGGAATGCCACAGATGATCATCAAGAGCAACACGGTCCTTGGCTCAAATGCCACAGCTCTGTGTCTCTAACCATACCATAACATACCTACACCTGCACTGCCTACTAAACACACGCTGCACTCGTCTGTCCTAAACTGAACTGACCCAGAAGTCTTATTGCGAAGCGATGATAAAGCCATGAATCCAGAAAGCCGCAAAACCCCCATTATGAACCACTACACCATTCATCACCTCGGCCAAGTGTCAAGGTCGCAGACCTGTGCGCTCCGTTGTGACATAAAATCACCACGGAGAAGCCCTTCAAAAGCAGCTCGATCACTGAGTGAAGGCGGTCAATAACATGGCTCAAAGCCACGTCTTTATGGACAACGCCAGTCCCGTCCACAAACGGGAGGATTCTCACTGCTGCTTGGTCTTGCAAATGATTCGTGGCAGTTCTGTTTGCTGGAAACACCACCGCGACATGGTTCTGCGTCAGGCATGCAACATCCGCGAAGTGGCCTCCAAGCCACAACTTCCCGCCTTTGCCGTTCTGGAGGTCGAGGATGAGGTGCATCGGATGCCTGCACATAGTTCTACGCTTGGTTCTTCAACGCTGAAATCATTGAATCATCTCACTAACTAAGTAGAGTAACTATCTAACCATCCGATCCCATCAAACACGTAAGTCCGTAACTCAGGAAAGGTGCCGCTTGTTGTACGCATCCCGGGCATACCGGACAGCGTCAACCCCACCATAGGTGTCGCAGCACAGCACTGATTGCAGCTTCTCCACAGCTCCATACACATCCTGAGGCTTCATGTCTTTACCTGGCCAAAGGCCTGACAATGCCTGTCTCCGAGCATCTGCTGGCTCGAAACAAGCTGAAAGGCCTTCGCGATTCACAAAGCCGTGCAACAAAACATCCTGCATGTTCATGATTGTGTGGGTAGACGACATGGCTCTTCACGGTCTTCGGATTCACTACCACAAGCGAGTCACAAGTGGACCACAGGTCACTAGTCCACGAGCTTGATAGGCACCAGGCCCACACTGCGGTGATAGCAAACCACTGCTGACTTGGCGATCGCTGACACTTGCAAGAAAAGACATGCAACATGCAGTGACACGCGCAACAAACAACTGACACCCACACAATGCCCAATTCTGAACGTCACTGAACGCTGAATCTGAATGCAGGTGTCGGTCCTGTCCAAGGGCCTCGGAAGAAGTCTGTGAACTTCTTGATGTCGGCCGAAGTACCCGGACGAAGACCAGAACTGTCGTCAATGTTGTCGGCAAGACCTTCCAGCACCAGTTCCAAGAACAATTGGGCTTGTTTTCTTGCTGCTGCCCACTCTGCCTGCACGCCTGGGGGCTCTGCGGGCAGGATTTTCAAATCATCCTGCAACTGGGTTCTGATTGCCTGCTTCCAATCCTTGAAGAGTTTGCCTTTCTGGCTGCACTTGGACAAGCAATAGCAACCTGGCAAAATGCCGAGTAATTTTGTCAAACGTTCTATCACATTTCCATTTCGGTGTTGTGCACACAGCATTGGCAGCAAATACACTTTTTCAGGCAGCACGGCATGCACGTGCTTTAAAAGCCTGATGTTGGCAGATGCTTGATCACAAGTGATGATGATACAGCAATAATCAGCCTGCAATGACATGCTGTTTGCTGCGAGACTGCCCTCACCCTGGCAAAGAGCCTCGTACATGCAAGACGCCGTCTTCCTGGGCAAGGCTTGTGGGAGTCGCACAAAATCGAACTCCTGAACAGAATCAGAATCACCATTGCCAATGCTCAGCTGCGAGTGCGATGCTAGAATTGACCAGGCCCCAGGCCCTTCGCCATCCAGCGTCAACTCTAACTCTGTTTCGTCAAACATAAGGTTCATTATCCAGAACTTGGGGGCTGATGCGAGAAGGGCCGAACGCACTGCTGCTGTTTTCTGGTATTGCAAACCTTCGGCTTGCTTTTGCAAGATGATGTCGGCAACCAACATCCGTGCATTCAGCACGTGGCTGCCACTCGCACCGTCAATCTCCTGTGCAACCTGGCGTAACGCCGCAGACGGACTTGCAAAAGCAGCCCTCAACAGCGCCTCTGGCGTCCCGCACGACCAGAAACTTTTGCACGTTTGTCTGCTGAATGCATGGGAAACAAGTGATCCCTGGTGCGATTGCGGCCAGAAGAGTTGGCAGCCACGACCTGAAGCTTATTTTTAGCCTCCCGGTCTTTCTGCACCCCCAGCCCCCTACGGCTTGAGCGACTTCGCGCTAAATTCACCGCACGTGCATGACCGGCCCGCCCACCGGCCCGCCCCCGGTTGCGTCCTTGCCGAACACCATCACCGCCAGCACCCTCACCCGGTGAATCACCGTCTACTTCTTGATTCGGGGCGGCATGCTGTTCCACAATGGCGGCAAGATCTGCAACGCCCAGCATGCTTTGATGCCTACGTGTCCTCAGGACCTTGGTGCTACGTGTCTTAAGGAGTGTCATGAGGACCTTGCTGCTACGTGTTCTAAGTGGTGCTACGTGTCCTAAGGACCTTGTGTGAAGGTGTGTGCGTGCTTGTGTTGGTGGGTAGTAACCCTAAACAGTGCTACGTGTCCTAAGGACTTTGTGTGAAGGTGTGGCTGTGTGCGTGCTTGTGTTGGTGGGTGGTAGCCGTGGTAGCTCAGACGAACTGGGCTGTTTGAGCCCAACGTGCTGGAACAGTGTTGGACCATGGCAAGTATGCATGCAGTGTGATGTTGTGCCATGTGGTGTTTGTCAGTGTTTGTCAACAGGAAAAAACAAGTCAAGAGAACAAGGTGTTTTCTGTAGTAATTGAAACAGCTTTGCAACTATTCCAAACAAATGTTAAAATATTATTTCTAAAATGTTTCCATGTTCGAAGCATTTCCTAAACAATTGTTGAAAATATCGCAAACTTTCAAAACAATTGCCGAAACAATTGCCAAAACAATTGCAACAATTAAAACAATTGCCAAAACAATTGCCAAAACAATTGCAACAATTAAAACAATTGCCAAAACAATTGCCAAAACAATTGCAACAATTACAACTATTGCCAAAACTATTGTGCTAACTATGGCCCAGGTTGTCTGTGGGTGTTCCCGAGAGCATTCTTGAAAACATTCAAGCTTTGAGATATGTTGCTAGGACAAGGAACCTGCATGCGACCTCGAAGTCGCAAACCACGCCAATTGAAAGGCTAAGACGCCAACATCTTCCAGTAACGAAGACGTTTCCTTTTGGGTGCAAGGGTTTTGCCAAACCTGCGAAGCAGAAGCCTGAGAATCGAGGCCGCCGCCTCATCCCGTGTATGTACCTAGGGCCTGCTAAGCCCAATGGTGGAGGAGTGCGTGTGCTCCCTCTTGATCGGCCTGATGAGGTCGAGGTGATGTCGGCCTTTCGGCCGGACCAGCCTTACCTGTATCCTGAGGAGTTGGTGGTACAAGCCGCTGATTCGGGTGCCCCTTCTAGGCAAGACAACGTTTTAGAGCGTCCTGTTTCCTTAGACCTGAAGCCCCCCGAAGCCTTTCAGCCTGGAGAGCCTAAGGGTAATCTAGTTGAGAGGGGGAGTGCGGAGCCGGAGGCTCCAGCTGAGCTCTTGGAGGATGAGCTTATGGACTATGATCCTTCTCCAGTTGAGGAGGAAGAGGTACTCCCTGAAGGTCCCCCTGCAGGAGAGAACGAGGCCCCACCTTTGTACGATGTGGACATGCAGCCGGCCGACGATGATGATCCCATGGAGGTGGCGATCAGCTGGCTGGAGGACCATGCTTTGTATCCATGTGTTCTAGACCTGAGGTTGTGTTCGCGGCAAAGGACGCTAAAGGGTCTAGGGCGGCCAAGTTGGAGTTTACTTTGAAGTTTGGAGGGTCCAAGGTGAAGGTTGAGGTTCCTTCTGGGGCTGCTGATGAGTATACTGGGGAGGTTCTTGAGGAGAAGAAACTTGGGGAAGGGATGCGTCTTGAAATGGAGGAACTGGACCACTTTGGTGTGTGCCAGGTTGTGTCTGAGAAGGAGGCGTTTCGCCTTGTGCGGGAAGCTAAGAGGAGAGTGCTTTCCACCAGGTGGGTGTTGCACTACAAGGACGGGCACAAGCGTGTGCGCTGCCGTTTGGTTGTGCGTGACTTTAAAGGGCCCACCTCTGCTTTAGCTGATGGCATCTATTCTCCTACTACTACCTTAGAGTCTGTGAGGTGTCTGTTGGGGATGTATGCGCATTTCGGAGGGAAGGTGATTTCGGGAGATATTTCTGTGGCCTTCATGCAGGCTAAGCTGTTTTCTACTGAGGTGGTGAAGCTGCCGGAGAACTGTAGGACAGTGTCAGGTGAACGTGTGCATTGTCTGCTGAAGCGTGCCATGAATGGTTTGCGGATTGGGCCTTTGGCTTGGTTTCGTGAGCTAGGAGAAACACTGAGAAAACTTGGTTTCTTTGTTACTGCTGACAGCACTGTGTATCGCAAGGTGATCAAGGAGAAAGGCAAGGATGCCATTGTGTTGGTGTTGGCCTATGTAGATGACATCTTGGTTTTCAGCACGGTTGCGAGTGTAGCTGAGAAAGTGTTTGAGGAACTGAGTAAAGTGTTCAAGATGAAGCGCACGGGAACGCTTCAACCGGGAGAGAAATCGGTGATCTCCTTCCTTGGGAGAAACATTTATCAGAGGAAGACCGGAGACTTGTACTTCGGACTCAAACCCGGGATGCTCCATAGCTGTGCGGAAGAGTATCAAATCACGAAGGGAGCGAAACTCCCCAAGCTTGAGCGTTTGTGGACCAGTCTGGAATCCACCCCGATCACGCATGAGGCCTATCAGCGCTACCGGCGCGTGTTGGGCAAACTGTCGTGGCTAGCTTTGACAAGAGCTGATTTGCAGTTTGTTGTAGGTTTTCTGGCCCGGAGCCAGAGCAACCCAGACTCCAGGAGTGAAGCGTGTATTCGAGCTGTGCTGCGTTGGATTCTCACGCTTGGGAATCGGGTTCAGCGGATCCCGGCACAGTGGGTGAACTATCGCCCTTCGGAAAGTACGCGTGTGATCGATTGTTTCTGTGATGCTAGCTGGAATTTGCCCTCTGTGAGTGGGGCGATTATCTGCTGGCAGTGCAACCTGCTGAAGAGTTTTAGCCGTAAACAGACGGTTGTGGCCCTGAGCAGTGCCGAGGCTGAATTGAGTGCTTTGGTAGAGACTGTGAAAGAGGCTTTGTTTGCAGGGTTGCTTCAACAGTCGTTTTTGGAGGGATTGCCTGAGGATGATACCGGAAGCTTTTGGATCCGGATTTGTACCGATTCTGAGTCGGCAAAGGCGATTGCTTCAATGGAGGGACTCTTGAGAAGGGTTCGTCACCTGGAGTTGCGGTGTGCTTTCCTGCAGCAGATGGTTCAGTCGGGGAGAGTGATCCTCGAGTTTGTGGCCGGAGCATATAATGCCTCCGACGGCCTGACCAAGAGTATGGTCTTTCAGGAGCAGCTGGACAACCTCTACGAGGTAACCGGTTTGGTTTCTTTTGAAGGCGAGTTGGGTGAGTTTGAGCTGGAACGCCTGACTGCAGAAGAGCCGGTAAACCGTTCTTTTGTTCCTGAGGAGTACGTTTCACTGTGTGAAGCTGTGGCGAAGAACCAGGTCACCTTTGTGGTCGTTGAACTGTTCTGCCAGGAAGAAAGTGCCTTACAGAAGGCATGTGAGAAGCTTGAGATTGCCTATGTGGGCGTCACTGAAAAGCTTGACTTTTGTTCTGAGCAGACGCAGTGTTTTCTGAAGGAGTTGTTTTCTGTGTTGAGTTGTGGCTTGAAGACGAAGATCTACTGCCATATCTCCACTCCCTGTACCACTGGGTGTCGTTTGCGTTACCGCGGGTGGCGCAAGTACAGTCAAGAGAAGTGGGAAGAGAAGAAGAAGTTGCATCAGCGTGCTTGGGAACTTCTTGAAGGTTTGTTGAAACCGGTTGCTCGGAGTGAACGCTTGTTGTTGACTCAAGAGTGGCCTCTGCAGAACGACCTCTGGAAGGACCCGCGGTATCTTCAGGTTGCTTCAGAATTGGGGCTTTCTGAGGGTATTGTGGTAGACCGCTGTGCGTTCGACTGTGTGTTTAAACGGTGGTACTTTGCCACGAACAGTAAACGCTGGGTCAAAGTGTTTCCTAAAAGGGAATGTGACCAAGTGCATGAACATGTACAGGTGGAATTAAAAGATTCAGGGTTCGATCCTGAAAAGCTAGGTCTAGAGCTTGTAAAGTGTGCTCAAAAGACACTAGGTGCCGCATCAGTCCAAGAGGGGGTGTGAGGGCCGGCCTGGGGAAAGACAGATGGCGAGTGGTCTGTGGACCGCTGGGGGCCATGATAGCCTATCTGCTGGATCTCGGGCTTGTGGCTCCCACCCCGGACCGTTGGCTTTTTCCTGCAGACCTTTGTCCTGCTACCCTGGCAGGGGTCCCTGAGGACTCTGGGGTGGTGGCCCTCAACCCCCTCCTTCGGAGGCATTGGTCCGCCATCCTCTCGTGTTTGACCAGCGCCTGCCACAAGGCCCGGCGGAAGGCCATCAGTACCCAAACGGGTTGCAGCAGTTTGTCCTCAGGTGTGGACATTACGGTTCCCACTGCCCTTGTGAAAAAGGCTCCGCGGATTAAGTCTGCCGCCCTGAGAATGGCCTGGCAGGGAGCCCTTAAAAACCGGCATGTTCAAGCGGGCCAGCAATGCCCCCTGTGCAAGGTGCCCCTCACCCAGCACCACGTCACCACCGACTGCAGATGGTGGCGCGGCAAGGCACCCCCTCCTCCCAAACACTGGGAGCGCCTTACTACCCAGTTCCCATTCGACTGCCTATGGGAACGGGGCCTGATGCCGGCTCAGGCCACCCAGCTTCAGGGGTACTGCTGGGGCCCACAGTCGGAACGGGCCGATGGTGTTTGCAAAGAGGCCAAGTGGCCACAGGGGCTTTTCTATTCGACGGACGCCTCTGGCGGGCCCTACGCGGCCGACGCCAGGGGCA